TGTGTGCGCCTGACCTGTGTGTGTGCCTGTGTGCGCGCCTGACCTGTGTGTGTGCCTGTGTGTGCGCCTGACCTATGTGTGCCTGTGTGTGTGTGCCTGACCTGTGTATGCCTGTGCGTGCGCCTGACCTGTGTGTGCCTGTGTGTGTGTGCCTGACCTGTGTGTGCCTGTGTGTGTGCCCGTGTGTGCGCCTGACCTGTGTGTGCCTGTGTGTGTGCCCGTGTGTGCGCCTGACCTATGTGTGCCTGTGTGTGTGTGCGCCTGACCGGTGTGTGCCCGTGTGTGCGCCTGACCTGTGTGTGCCTGTGTGTGCGCCTGACCTGTGTGTGTGCCTGTGTGTGTGCCTGACCTGTGTGTGCCTGTGTGTGCCTGTGTGTGTGCCTGACCTGTGTGTGTGCCTGTGTGTGTGCGCCTGACCTGTGTGTGTGCCTGTGTGTGCGCCTGACCTGTGTGTGTGCCTGTGTGTGCGCCTGACCTGTGTGTGCCTGTGTGTGCCTGACCTGTGTGCGCCCGACCCGCGTGTGCCTGTGTGTGCACCTGACCTGTGTGCGCCTGTGTGTGCACCTGACCTGTGTGCGCCTGTGTGTGCACCTGACCTGTGTGCGCCTGTGTGTGCGCCTGACCTGTGTGCGCCCGACCCGCGTGTGCCTGTGCGTGTGCCGAGCATGCCTGCGCGACTTGTCTGTCCTGGTGTTTGCCATGTGCCGCCTGTGTGTTCGGTCCACGTGTGGGCAGCAGCGGGGGCAGCGTGGAGCAGGCCGTCCCCTGAGGCTGCTGGGAGTGCGAGCGGGTGGGGGGCGCAGCTGGGTGAGCAGCGGGGGGCGCAGCTGGGTGAGCAGCGGGGCGCAGCTGGGCGGGTGGGGCGCAGCTCAGTCAGGACCAGCGTCTTTGGGGTGGATCTTTTTATTTCTCATTTTGCGGACCGCGACCCCCGGGATGCCAGCGCTGCGTGCGCAGGCCCGGGCCGGCTCAGTAGCAGGTGCCGGCCGTGTCGGACAGGACCAGGGACACGTTGTACAGGGTGGGTTTACCGGTGGACTTGTCCACGGTCTTCTCGGTGACAGAGTGCGGCAGCGCCTCGTGGGCGACCACGCAGGTGAAGACCTCCCCGGCGCTCCACTCCTCCTCGCTCACGGTCAGCACGCTCTGGACGAAGTAGGAGCCAGGGAACTGGGGCTCGGGCATCGGGGAGCTGGTCACGAACTTGCTGGCATCCACGGGCTGCCCGCGGTGCTGCCAGGTCACGAACACGTCGGCGGGTGCGAAGCGGGTCACGAAGCAGGTGATGGAGGCCGACTCCCGCAGGGCCAGCTGCTCCCTGGCCGGCGGCAGCACGTACACGGCGGGCGGGTGCTCGGCCAC